ACCCCAAAACCCCAAAACCCCAAAACCCCAAAACCCCAAAACCCCGGAGGTTTAAAACGTCTCTGAAAATAATAAATTAAAATAAATTATGGAACAGAAATCATCAGTTAATACAAAAGAAACTTTATCTACCCTTAAAGAGACTAGTCAGGTGCTTATTCAAAGACATGCGATGTCAATGGCTAATGAGAGTTACGCTCAAATCAAAGATCATTCAAATTTTGAGGAACTATCAAAATGGATCTGCGACCCCACCTTAAGAGACCCAAGGCTATCAGAAACTGGTCACCACCAGTGTCGTGAGGCGAGACCACTGGTGAATTCTCTCAAAATCCATACTGTCTTCGTATCTCCTCTGAGGCGTACTTTGGAGACAGCTTATCTTATCTATCACGCTCATCCAGATTTTGAGAATATTCGCTTCATTGTTCTACCGGTTATAAGGGAGAGCTTAAACACCTCCTCTGATATCCCATCGGATGTTGACCAGGTTATCGAGGAATTCAGAGAGCTTATTCCTCAGCTGGATGATTCTCCCCTAGAAGAATATGAAGATAAGAAACATTATTTTCTCGAAGATCTTCAGACAGACGTCAAAGACGTCATCAAGGCAGAATTGGAGGATGACGAGGACGATCCTCTAGGAAGCAATGCTTATGACCTATTCATTAGAGAGTCTAAGCAGGCCTTCCCAGGGCGTCTGGAGTCCAAGTGGAATGTATACGATAGGTCTGTAAAGGCAAAGAAATTTGTCAAGAATTATATTAGAAATTATCAGATTCCGAAAGATCAGAAAATAGTGATTCTAGCTCACTGAATTTACTTCTATATGCACACTGGAAAGTGGGATTGGAAGTGCGACAGGGAAAAAGAGCTGTCCTATCCTACAGATTTTATCAGGATGAAGAACTGTGAAATTCTTCCTGACCCTACTGACTATGACTTATAGTTTCATTTATTTAAATCTTATAAAAGTGTAATTTTCTCAGTTTAAGTCTTTAATAAAGGGGTTTTGGGGTTTTGGGGTTTTGGGGTTTTGGGGTTTTGGGG